GTGGTATCTTTGTTTTTAAGAAATGCTGGCTGCCAAAAATGATCCATCAGATGCTGGCAGGCTGTTCATTATGCAAAGCCTAACATTGGCAAAATTTTAAGAATAAAAAGTTATTTGCCTCTGCAAATGTGGTAGAGATGGGATTGGTTTCTTGAGTGCTGTCTTAGCACTGTCAAAGTTTTGAGGGCATGAAAAGAAGCTGTCAGACTACCATACTTGTTGCTGGAAGAAAGACATAGTAAAACTTGTCTGCACAGCCATCAGATTATTCAATACCCATCATTGTATGCAGAGTCACTGTAGCCAGTGTTGAAGAATTAATGGGACATCATGTTGTACAATAAGGTAGGAGTGTTGCAAGTCCAACTATACTGTACAGGCCGACTGCCATTCCAGCATCTCAAATGTAAGTTGTGGGTTTTGTGGGGGGAGGGTGTGTGTGGAAAAGGGCATTTCTTTAAGATAAGACAGCTTATTTAAGTCTCACTTCAAACATGTATTCTTTCTTTTGGTGTGTAAGCCTAAAGAGTTGGTATAATCAGTCTTGTCCGAGCTGGTCATTTCCACTGGAGTTGGGAAAACAAAATGCCTATTGTTTTCAGGTACAAAGAGAGAGAGAAGATTTCTTTTCAAGGTTGGAACAGCCCTATCTACAGCAGCTCTAGAGATCTGACATGCAGTTGTTTCCTTCAATCTTTCTTGCCAGTTCCAATTATTAACAGTAAATTAGCTTCCACAAAAAGACATGGTTGCCAAATAGTACTGCTGGTCTCAAAGAAGACAATAACCATTTCATTCTGCTTAAAAATCTTCTACGATCACAGCTGCTGATGCACTAAGAGATGTGTGGCATGGTTACAAAGCTGAGTGGGCTGAATGGTGCCCATGCTGTGAATCTGTACCATCCCAGGTTTAGAATTAATTTCCACCCTGAATTTCTAGTTTTTGTTTTCTTTTTCATGGAGGATAAATACAGCATCTGTGTAAATGCATTTTTTCCATATTGTTACTTAGCCTCAAAACCTGCACTAAACCAGCTACCTGGGAACAAGGTGTTATGTACTTGTTGCCTTTGGCTCTTCTATTGTACCAGTAGCTAGATATGGGCGAGCCCAAGCAAAGCCAGGAAAATTGCAGACAAGCCAATCCATTCTGAATGCTGGAAGTCATACAAATGTATTTCAGATGACTCTGTGATTCATAGTGCAATGCCAAGCTCTGGGCAGGTGAGCAGGGCCTCAGGGCCTATGTTACACTTTGAGGGAGTCTTTATTGTTTCAGCTTAGTTCAGAAGATCTGCTCAGAGCAGGGAGAAAACTATGTTTAAAAGTGAGGTATAAAGCTGTTCCATAGATATTTCAAACTACCAGGGGGGGAATGACAAAATAGTAATCATCAATACAGCTTCAAGTAGTGAACTTTGCAGTAGTTCAAGTCTGCAAGTCCTTTCCCACTGTTTTATAGCTCCCTATCACCAAATTATTGGCATATATTCTGTCCTGGGTAAGAACTGTTATATATGCTGTGGTGCAAAAAAGTAGATTCTAAAACTTTAGAGCAGACTATCAAGATAACTCAAGTAGGAATAAAAATTAATCGGATTGTGGTTTTAATTGGATGCCCAAGATGCTCTAAACCTTAGCAGAGGTGACCTTCTGCTTCTGGAGGTAATGTGTGGAGCCCAGCTGAACCTTCAGTCACTATTCGTCCTAATATGCTCTTTCATGTAATTAGAATTCTGTTTGTAGCTTTCAAAATAAATGAGGTAGCCTACAAGCAAAAATCATTTCCTTACCAAATCTGTCTATTACAAAAGCAGCACAAAGAATGGTAATGTCACTTGAGACTATTACTCTGAAAACTGGAGTAGAAGGTGGTCTGCAAACAACTGGACAAAACATTTTTTATAGTAGACTTTCTACCAGAGAACAGTGGAGAGGCAAACTTTGCAAAGTAACACTGCCCTTGTAGCTGGTGTTAATCCTGATACTGCTGTATTGTTGGTTGATTTTTAATGGGTATTTCAACTTGGCCATTTTATGTCTTTCAGGATAAAGGGAAGAAGTTGATGAGGATCATGCTGGACCTTGAAAAACAAGGCCTAGAAGCAATGGAGGACATCCTTTCCAGTACAGAGGTTCTGGATCCCACCGAAGTGGCGGACCTCTTCTATGACTGCGTTGATACAGAAATTAAGTTCTTCAAGTGAAGTAGGTGAACATCTTAATTCTTCCCTTTAGATCCTTGCATTGCCATAGAAGTAACCTATCTGCTTATGTATAAATTAGAGGAATATAATAAATGACAGTGGGTCTGATTCTGGTCTCTCTCCCTCTGTCACAATTCTAGTTACTTCTGGCTTACACAAGTCCTCATAATCTTTTTTTCCACTTGTGCCCCCTCTAAATGGATTTTCTCAAAGCATTTTTCTTTATGTAATGTTGAAGTCTTAGTTTTCCATTTGATTGTTGCTCTGAATGGACTTTTAAACTGTTATAATCTCATTTCAGCCACAGTGGATGCCGTTAGCCTTTTCACAAGAAGACTGTAAAGTTCTTCAAGCCTTGAAGGATAATCTCTACATTGCTGAATTTGCAGGAAAAAAGCAACTTTCTAGAAAATGTTCCTTGATAGCTGTATCCAGTTAAATTGTTTTTCTTTGTCCAAACAAGTGGTGTTCCTATTTCTGTGCGTGTAGTGAAAGGAGATGGTCACTGATTGGTCCAATTACTGTGTGCATGCTGGCTACTGTAGTACAGAATGTTTCAATATGTATGTTTGGGCAACAAATTAAAGCAAGGAATAACTTCAACCCAGAGTAACTTCCATATTGTCTTTTGAAAGCAAAACTTCCCGTGACCAGGATTTCACCAAAATTTGAATGCCCAGAAATTCACCAAGCACAGTCTTACTTCACATTGGAAACTGAAGAGATGTTCAGGTGGAGAGTGAAACAGCAGTGCTAAAACCATTTTAAAGTGGGTTTTGGATATGAACTTCCTTGTGCTAGCTTTCTTGGTGTCTCCTCAGCCTTAGTGGAGGAACTTCTAGTTTGCACCTATACAAATGGGTTAAATATTACCTTCTCCTCTTCAGAGCACAGAAACAGTAATTGTTATGCTCCTGTATTTCATTGTTTGCGGGGGGGGGGGGGCGTCCCCAAAGCGTTCCTCAAAATTTGCAGGATTGTAACCTAGACAGAATCAAGTTGGGTACCTGGTACATTCATATAAATCAACTGATTGCAAGACCTCAATGACAGCTGCCACCTCAGTGCAAAAATTCCAGTATAGTACATTTATTTAATACTAGTTGATAGTAAAGATACAGATAGGAATAAATGGTTTGGTGAGCTTGGGCACCAGTATGTTGGCTGGTGACTATATTGTTGAATGGGGAGACTCACATTCTGAGATTGCAGTTTTTAAGTGTACATTGCTTCTGTCTTAAATTGTCTCTCTCTTTGTGCTGAGTAATGAGACAAATTAGATCCTTATAACTGAACTGATCCTTAATGTTGCAAGGCACAAGTTAGACACAAAGGGGAAGTTGGATTGTTGGCATTAGGAGGGCAAAGTGGCAAATACAAGGGCAAAGTGGCGAATACAGAGAGGTGTCTTGCAGTTCTTTGCTCATCTTTCCAATTTCCATTTTTAGGAGGTTATGCTAGTGCAGTGTCAGCAGGGGAACCCTGTTAGATTTGTGACGCAAAGACATTGCCAAAGTATTTCAGCAAGTTGGAATTAGCAATGTGAACATAAAACAAAAACGCAGTACTCCAGCTGCAGCTTCACTAAGGCTGAGTAAAATGGGAGGATGACAGCCTTAGTCTTGCTTGAGATGTATCAGTTGATGCATGCCTGTGTACTGTTCACTCTGTTGGCTATAGCATTGCACTAACAGCTCACGTTAATTCTGTGGTCAGTCATGACCCTTAGGTCTCTTTCAGTTGTGGTGCTAGCTAGTGTAGCATTGCCAAGCTTGTACGTATGTTGTGGATTATTTCTCCCCAGATAGAGCACTAAAAAATATAAAGTGTTAAACATCATCAGGTTTTGATCTGCCCACTTTACAAGCCTGTCCAAGTCAGCCTGTCCTCCAGCGTGACTGCATTTCCCCTATAACTTGGTGTCATCTGCAAATTTTGCCAGTACTCTTTTCACACCCGTATCCAAATCATTGATGAATACGTTGAAAAACACTGGTTTGAGTACTGAACCCCGGAGGCCACCGCTGGTTACTTTGACTCAGTTCCATCTATTTACACACTCTGCGTCCAACCTTGGACCCTAATTCATATTCAGAAAGGTCTTTCTACTGATCAAAATACAGCTGGTATCTAACTGATTTTTCTAACCACCCTTCTCTTCAATTTGTTTATAACAGCTCAATTATTTACTTATTATTTACCATATGGACCCTACTTCTAACTAGTAGGGGTGCAGTGATAAAGATTTTTTTGGCTAATACCGATGGCTAACTATTAACCAGACCTATTGGCCGATACTGATCCAGTAGGTGATATGCAGCCCTGTAGCTTGGAGAGCAGTATCCAGCTGGTAAGTCTGTGGGGAGGGAGGAGTGTAGGGGAGGGAAATAGGTTTGTGGGGGCAGATCAAGGGCCCCACAGTGAGGAGTGCGGCTGGGACGAGCAGGGGCAGGCACTGCCCGGCTGGGGTGGGGCAGGGTGTGGGACAAAGGCATGGATGCCTCCAGCCCAGCCCCCGCACTGCAGAGGCTGGCACAGCCCCTGGCCCTGAAGTGGGTAGCCCACCTTTGCCCCATGTACAAAGCTGGTGGGCACATGCCCCCTGTGCCTCCCCCAGCTGGGAAGCCCTTGCCTCTGCTCGAGCCTCAGCCCCACTCTCTCCCTCACGATGCGGGCCTCTATCTGTCCCTTCTCCACACCCTCCCCACCCCGGACTTATACCAGCCAGATGCTTCTCTCCAAGCTGCTGGGCTGTGCATTGACATCTACTGGTGACATTATTGGCTATACTGGCCAAACAAAGTTGATTGCTGATAATGTCAATTTTCCTTTTATTGGTGCCAATCTGATATGGACCGGTATATCAGTGCACCTCTACTAACTAGCAGCAGAAACCAGACGATGGCAAACTTTTCTAGAAGTTTATATATATTTTTTTTTCATACTTTGGTTTTGCAGCTGATACTAAGCATGTGTAACTACTGGACAGTGTGGCACATCTCCGTTATCCCTAATTTGGTCAGAGGTGAGCACTGATGTCAATGCAGTGTGTGCTGTTGTCACTCTTGTACCTTTTTATGCTGCATGAGACATCTAAAATTTGCTTTTAAGGAAATGAAGCTTTTATTTTCTAATGCTGAGCACTGTCCCCATTCAAATAAACACAACAAAAACAAGAAAAATCTAGTAGAACATCTACCTCATAGTCCTTTTAAATTGTTGATGATGTCTGCAGCAGTGTTATAAGATGCGCTGTTTAGTAATGCTAAGGAAAAGTAAGTATAATAGAAGCAAACTTCAGGCCACAGTCTGTCTTGTTTCAGAATTTGACATGGAAGCCAAAGTATAAGAGCTTTATCAGCACATGCTGTCAGAGGTTAGGCTTGCTAGCAATGCCTCAACCATTTTTTATAGTCTATATTGGTTCTCAAACTTGTGTTTTACTGAGAAAAGAAAATACAAACTGTAATGACAGCTATTGGATGGGCAGGCTTGTACACTCATATTTAAACTTCTCTTCCAAGTAAGTGAATCTATTTATTAAGTGTAACTATTCTGTTTATGCAGACTTTTGTTCTCACACAGAGCTCCACTGACTTCAGTAGGGTATGATGTAGTCCTTGCACAATTTAGTTGCAGGATCAGGAATTTCACATTGTTCCTAACTGAAGGGAATTCTTCCACTTAATAAAATGAAATGTCACAGTTGCTGCTCAATGCTTCACTTCACATTCACTTTGTTTTCATTCTGCCTTCTCTGCAATTCATTCTCCCTCTAAGCAGAGAGGGAGTCCTGTTTTGTACCCTGTCCTTTGGCTGCTACATACCATTTCATGCAGCAAGTCAGTTCTGCCCTCATCTAGACACATCAAGATGTACATAGTACTTCAGACTGCACAGAAACAGCCAATTTTGTTTGTATCTTTCTTGTGGGATCGAATGCATCTGCAGTCACTTTAAAAGATTCTCTGCATTTGAGACCCGCTGTTTGTTAGATTCAACAAATAGATTCATTTTAGTGGCCCAGGCAATAAATTACTGCTTATGCAAACAGTATGCCACCACAGATGAGGGGGTTTAAACCCATGCTCTTGTTTCAATGTACAGTACATAAAAGAATAGGTGCTGAGTTCCCTTCCCTCTGTGCTATCACAGAGGGGGCATGCAGTAACCACTGTGAAGCTAATTGAGGCTGGACATTGAGAAGGAAACCTGCAGAGATCCTAAGGACTCAAATAATCAGGGACTCAGGCAGTTCAAATGGTTAAACAAGTTTTGGTTTTGATGGAGCAAAATTGTGGGCTGTTCATGACTTTAAAAACTTCTGTCATTCACCTTTGAACTTGTAGGTAGATGGCAGGCAACTTCCACAACTCACTTTAACAACCATGGACCTTGACTATTAAGAAGTCAGCAGAAATGATTGGAAGTAGTATAGCTTTGTAAAACCAGGTGTGGAAACAGGGGCATTAAGCATGTGTAATGAGGGTAAGGGGAGGTGTTTGTGGAGTCTTGCTTTCTTTTAAAGTAAGTACCTAAGATTGCAGAAGTACTAATCACCCTTGATATAGAAACATCTGTCACTTAATCCATCTCAAATTAACCTTTAAACACTGTTTTGCTTTTGACAAACACTCTCACTATTTAATGAGACAGCAGTAAAGCATCTCTATTTAATGTTGTCAAATTCTGCCAAGACACTTTTAATAAATAAAAAAAAAAAAATCCTTATAAAAATTATGACATGGCTGTATACAGGTTACATACAGATAATAGGCAATAAATCATACTAACATTACAATGTAAAATAGTGATAATACTGTTGCCAAACACGATTACTATAGCATTAGACTTTTTCTATTGCTGTTAAAAGAACAATGTTCATGTTGACTTCAACTTAAATGTTACTTTTCTGTCATGTGCTTCTGCACATTTGTTTTATACAAGAGCAATTCATTCAGAAGTACCTGCATGCGCAGAACAGGTATGAGTGTGCAGATCTCAGTTCTGATATTCCTCCACTATACAGCTGGAAAATTTGTTTTAAACCAGGGGTGAGCAATTATTTGGGCCCAAGGGCAAGAGCCACAGAGGGAGTTTTGGTGAGCTGCTGCAGACTGGGTCACCATCCCCCACCCCTTGGCTTGCAACAGCTCACCAAAATGCCCCTAAATCAAGGACCACACCTATCTCTCACTCTCCTCAACTCCTTTCCCCCACCTCCCTCCACCCAGAGGTGCAGCAAGCCCTGATGCCGCACCCTGACCCAGAACCTGCTCGCCATGTCCACAGCTTACTCCAGTATCTGCCCAGTACACAGGAAACAGGTCTACCTGGATGTCTACAACAGCTGTGGACAACCGACAGGTTCCAGGTGGGGATTGGGGGCATCCAACCAGGTGTACAGCTGATGCCACTGTGTCAGCACTGGGCAGAAACAGTCCAGTCTGCCCAGCATCATGCTGTAGCTGGAGCTTGAGACACCAGCTGCCCAGAGGCTGGATCCCATGAGTTTGTGGCTGCCTGCCCCTGGGCCAGGTACAATCAGTTGGCGAGCTGCATCCAGCCCAAGAGCCATATTTTGCCCACCCCTGTAGATTATTTCAGTGACTCTAGAATCCAATCTCATTTCTGTAGCCTTTCCCTTAAACCTCTATGATTGGATTCACTGTTGTCCACCTGCCTCAAATTGTTGGGAGCAACACAGAACAGCCAGAGTGTACTGTCAAACCTTAGTCTGAGTCCTTAGGGCTATGAACAGATGTAATGTTCATAGCCAGGAGAGAGACTTTTGTTCTGGGATCATGCAGATTTACAGATCCACTATCCCAATTCAAATGCTTTTGAAGTATGCCAAATAAAATGTGCTTACACTTTATCATGGGATGTCCTGTTGTATGTCTGTATGGTTATTGTAGTTAATTATAGGGACAAACCTGCCAGGTTGTGTGCTTTTGCTGGCCACCTACTGGCAAAGGAGCAGCAAGGCAGCTTGGAAAGGCAACGTGACTGCCACTCCTGTTTTGATCCAGGGTCAAATGAGATGGTCAGTTTACAGCCTAAGAGGGACAGTAGATTTAGCATGTGTCAGAAATTTTTCTATTTATCCATTATTTCCAAACTTGATCATCTTCCTTGACCAAGCACAACAATTCCATACACTACTTCCCCGCCCCCCCCCCCCCACACACACACACACTCCCCTTTTCATTTTGCATATACTGTGGGGCTGGTGAAGAGAGAGCACCTCTGGAGGCAAGACAACCAGGGGTGGATCCTCCTGCACTGGGGCATTTGCACCCCCCCCCCCACCTTTGATTCCTGCTCCACCCAAAGTTTAAAACCAACTGCCTAGCAGTGGCAGTACCATTTCTAAGCAGGCAGTGCTGAGGGAGTCAATTGACTTTATGGCACCTTGTTATCTACCTGATCCCTTCTAAGAGCTTAATTCCACTGGTGTTAATGACCCTCTCCTTTTTAATGATCTTGATGTTCCACCAATCAAGTTATCCTTTGCTCTGCAGTTCTGCTGTCTATTAGCTGCTCTGGTAATGAAACTTCTATTTCACAGCCCTGTAGATTGTTTTTAACTCATTCCAATTAAGTTATATTTGTTTTTGCTTTAATCTTAAACAAAATAATATAACCCTAGCCCCCTAGCATATTAGTTAAGCTTCTAGGGTTTGTATGTTTTTAACCAGAGAAAAAATGTGTTGTTTAAATGTGATGATACATTTCACAATCTGCACCCCACTTTTCAAAATTCTAGATATGCCTCTGAGTGCAACAGAGCAGAACTGCAGCCTTAAACTGAAGACCAGAGCTAAGTTAGTTTTGGATTCCAAAGTCTGCGCTCCTTTTAAGGAAATAAGGTATAACTTGATTCTAAGAGAAAATGTTCAAATAAGTCTACAATCTACTCTAGCATCCTCTGAAACTGCCTACCTCCTCCTTGCTTTGAGCTGTGCAGCTCCTTCTGTCAGCTGCTTGCAGAACCAGCTTTGTCCAGCTGAGTAGGCACTGCTCTATCTGGAAAGGAGAAGAGTGAAGAGATGCCTGCCAGAGGACTCTCTTTTCTTGACTTCAAGAAGGCTGTCTGAAAAAGCGATTCAGACCATCTCTTGGGAAACCAGGAGGCAAACCTTCTGTGGTTTGCAATTAATATTTAGGGGACAAGGAGCTCATTCAGTTATCTATTTTGTGCAAAATCTAACAATTATCCCTCAGTGTCATTCAGTGGGAGTGGTAAGTACAAGCAATCCTATTTCTAATAAGTAGTAAAGCTTTTTTCAGCTATGAAAGGAGGCTTGGGAGGAAAGAGAACATTACTAGGAAGTCTAGCAGAAAGTGATATATCAGCTCCTGGGTGGTAGCAGCAATTCTAAAAGAGCTTAACTGGGGGGGGGGGATGAATGCTGAATAAAGGGGCAATCAGGAGTGATAATTCAACAGTTCCCTTATACATACATTGATTGGCATATGCATTCATCCCATTTTTTGCACCCTGGGCTTTTCCTGCAACTTGGAAAAGTTTTGCCCTGTCTGCCAAATATACATAGCTACCTATGCTACACTGATGTGTAACATAGCCAGGGATATTATACATAGTATACTATACGGTACTGCATGCAGAGGTGTCTACAGCTGCTTTACAAATGCAGTAGACTTCTCTGCAGTAATTATCCAGTGATCAGAGGGGGAGATAAAAATGGATGGCCAGCAACATAATTTATATAGGTCATAACAATATTGTTCATGGTATTTTATTTTTTAGATAACTAAGTGAAAAATAATTAAAATATAAGATCAAACTGTGTGGAGCAATTCTGGAAATACTTAAGGAAAAAACCTGAGGGTATTTAATACAAGAAATACTGTTTAAGATGACACCTCTTGCCCAAGACTGGAATAAGTAGTATATAATAAGCACAATCAGAAACTGAAAGCTTTTCGTATACTTTGTTTCAGGGTTTTAGCATTCAGATTTCCCATACAGTCTCATATAGTGACGAGGCCAGTTCTGAGAGTGCATAATTATCACTACTTTTGCAGTTTTAAAAATACCAAATTAGGCCTGGAACTGCAGCACTTGATTCAAGCAAATCTCTACTAATCTAACAAAGCCTCCTTTGTTTCATAATTTGATTTTGGGATCCTCCATCCCCCTTTGCAGTACTGGCCCAAAGATCCTTTTCGAAGAATCATCTCATCTCACATGTGTTCTTAGCAGAGGATTTTTAGGGGCATCTGAAAAATATGAAGGATATTTTTCATTACAGACTCTACTGTAAGTGTATTACAGAGCCATTATATAATGTACTTCCATGGAAAATGGAAACAACCTAACAAAAGCCTGGGTTTTTTGGTGGCATCTGAGGAGCTGTTATATATGTAGGATTCACAGGATTTATAGAAACAGAAGAAAGAGTAAAATATAGACTTGTGTGTATTCATCTATTCAAAATCTTGGGTTTTTTTCTAAAGCTAGGCGAGTACAAGTTGTGCTCTTAAAACAACCACCCGATTCTTTTTTTCCCCTCACCAAAGGTTCCAAACCCTTCTATTGCCTTTAAAAGGTGTATTAGTAATTGCTTCTGAAAAATCAGCTCTTATTTATGTGCCAAAAACAGAGTTAGGGGCCAACTTGACATACTTAGTGTTGAAAACTTTAATGTCTCCTTAAAATATATAATATATTCAAAAATTGTATTTACAAAATTGTACTACTACTACAAAGAGTAAAATTAATCTGCAATTACTATTTACTTCTGATTTCATGAATTAAAGCCAAATCAAAATCATGTTAGTCTGTTTATATAACATCAGTGTTGAGAACTTTAAAGAATGTTATGAATGCAATTAAAGCAGAGTGGAAATCAATTCACATCACTGTTTGCTTATTCTCTAGAGGCACCACAATGAAAGATGCTTCATTACTGCATCTTTGGGCTTCGTTATAACAGTAGCTATAATAATGTCTCTGTGAATATCCAAGCAACTCTATTTCATACTAATAATTGCCTGGGTGCTATTCTGTTTTTTCCCATTGACATTTTTAATACTAGATAAACATCCTTTGTCCTGAGGTTTGTGTGTTATATTTTACACTTACCCCTAGGCTCCTTGCTGGGATATATTCTCTGAAATGGCTTGAATTCATCAGGAGGGGGGAAGTCTTCCACAGAATGAAAAGTAAATTTAGATTCAAAATCATCTGGAAAGTTTAAAAACAGAATTAAATATTAGAATAATAAACGCTTATCACAATTAACAAAACTGATTTACCATTGGAAGAAAATTCTCAGTGATATGCATAACTTGATTACAGTTGCACGCAATTGAGATCTATCACTGAAGTTTACTCCCTGAAAAGACCCCATCATAGGAAACAAATTGCAGATGGTCCTGTGGACTCCCCTTCATTTTTTGTGCAGTTACACAGGACTCATTAGCCCGTCTGTGGCAACCACTGCAGTTGTTTACCATGCTGTTAGGACAGTATTTAATGTCCTTGGGGAAACTCCATCCTATAGAATTTAACAAGAATAGGACCAACAAGGTTTTGCTGATATTTCTTCTATAAAAGCCTAAAAATATTACAACCTTTCAATAGGGTTGTTGTAACATGCTGTAAGATTTTTACAATAAACATCTGATTATTTTTTTCCTTTCTGGTGGTCTTAAAAACAAACAAACAAAAACCTGTCAAAAAGATTTATTTTCTGTTCCATAAACCTATACTGCAGAGCATCTCTCGAAAGGCCTTTCACACTGCTCTTTCATAGCAGGCCTTCAAGTGCACACGCATACTGGACTTTTCCAGTTATTGTAAGGATTTGTGCCAGATAGATATATTACCAACGACGGGCATGTTTCCATTTCTAAGCTGTGGAGAGGGTTCACGTGCTGGCCAGGGTCCAGCCTGGGCATATGGAGACTTGCTTGTAAGTTCAGTTGTTGGTGATCTTGCTGGAGGCTGCGGAGGTAGAGGTAACTTCCCAGCGCCAGACACTTAAAGATACAGCACACAAAGGAAAGAAACAATAATGTAGGAATTTAAGAGCTCTTACATTCCTTTGAACAAAGAATTGACTGCAACATAGAACTGAGGTCTGCTGCAAAACCAAACAGCACCACCATGACAGTAAAAAGTTGCCTCATGGCTGCTGCTTTCCAAGCCTGGCCATTGACAAGTTCTGCTAGCTCTGTGCTCTAACACCTGGCTCAGTCCTGGAATTTCTGGTTAATAGGAAATTATAACGCTACTTTAGTTCTTATTTTGTAAAAACTATTGTTCTGATTAAAAAAAGCCAGCCCCACATAGTTCAGGCTGCTCTTTGGGAAAAGGAGCTTTTTCCATGCATAAGCTGGTAACTACAGGTAAAACTCTTGAACTGCTCCTGCCCCTACAAAATCCCATAGGAAAAGCAAATAACCAAAGAAAGGACCCAAAGGGTAAAATGCATCAAAAATTCTAAAATAAAGACTTCATTGAAAAAAAAACAACCCACACAATTTAGGATTTTTATTGCATGAACAAAAGGGAAGTCTGTGTCCCGTCCCGTCCCCCCCCCCCCCCCCCCCCCCCCGCAAAAGAAGACTGTTGGGGACTTGAATACATGTAAACTTCATGTATAGTGTGTTTTGGAGGTTTTTTGGTATAGTACTTTTGGAGGGGGAAAAAGTAGTGTTTTAAGCAAAACAATACTGTATTAATAACTTGAGAACCAGACATTATGAAAAATGACATTTAGGGAAAACTAAATAGTTGGAAACATTGTTCTTTGCAGGCTTTTGGGCACAAACACCCTTCTCAGGTACAGGGGGAGTCTAGTGTTTTGTGTTCTCTGCAACTGCTCAGACACTTTATTAGGCACTACAGTATGCAGCCCTGCTGCTCTCCCAAGAGGGAGCCTAAAAATACTATTGACTGACAATGGCGTGGCTGTACTCATGCACATACTGCAGCCAGCAGCTGAAGAATGAGAGCGCACATCTTGTGGTACCACTGTGCTACAATTAGCAGATCAGTGCTTGGGTTGCAGGAAGCACTTACTGTTTCACTTGGCATCATTACAATCAGACCCAGACAGCACAAGTGGGTCTCTTTGTAGAAATGTAGAAATAGTTTCTATACAATGAGAATGGATCATGTTCCTGTCCCCTTCCCGTTCTATTTTTCTGTAGTTACAAGTGAACTGAAATAACTCTTACCTGCAACTCTGCCTGGCCTCCTCTTCTGCACTGCTGCAGGTGGCTGAGGGAAGGGCGGGGTGGGAGGGAGAGGCATGGACTGAATATTTGGCTTTTGAAACTGGGACAGCAAGTATGGAGACTTGGGTGGCAGTGGAGGTGGCACATCACTGCTGTTTATATCCCTGGAGGGGGCAGGTGAGGGCAGCAGTGGCAAGGATGGCTTGGTTGAGGAGGAAGTATAGGTAGGAAGCAGTGGAGGCGGAGGTGGGGGTGGAGTGGGATGCAGATAGTCCCTTATTTCAGGCTGAGGGGAAGGAGAAGAGCTAGATAGATCATTTCTGACTGGAAGTCCATAGGGTGGTGTTAGGGGCAGAGGAGGCGGTGGAGGGGGAGGATGGAAAGCCGATGCTTGAAATTTAGCAGGCTTGTCACACTGAGGTGGGGGAGGTGAAACAACATTCTGGGGTGTCCATTTTGCAGGCCTGTCTGTAGGTGGAGGGTGAGATGGAGGAGATGGGAAAGTGAGGGAAGGTTTGCTGGAGGGAGGTGGTGGCAGCGGAGGGGTAGGCAGGCTGGGCCGAGTTGGTCCTGCCCGTGGAGCGCTGGCTGGCTCCCATGGGCTTGCTGCTTTTGCACCATCAGGTGGATTTGAAAAGTTACTGCATGTCTTTATGTTATTGTTCATTGGAGACAGTGGCCTGGGAAGAGGTGCTTGCGCTCCAGGTAGCTGTCCAGCCTTGCCAGCTGGAAGACAAAAGCTAGCATCAGGGTAGGTCATATGTAGAAGAATGCAGCAAGGATACCATCTCAAATCCCCAGACAAAAACAGCGTAGAAAGTGATGTCATCCTGTTCCTTTGGCATGTGTTTACATTCATGTGGAATATCAGCCAGGTAGGAGGCGGGGGAGCTGCAAGGGATTCAATCTGCATCTACGTAACTATCTCAGCTATGCACTCAGGGTATACAAGTGGCACAGCATCTGTACAGGCTACTCTCTCAGTCTACTGTAGCTCCTCTAGAATAGTCCCACATTGGCACCCAGAGACACCCGAGATGAGTCCGTTTACTGACCACATATCCATCACGTACACCAAAGTGAGCTATCAAGCACACATTTATTTTTTTACTCTTGAAAGTAATATATTGGCTCCATAGCTGTCTGAAATTCCATGTGCAACCCACACAAAAAAGGATCAGCAATTAATTTTCCTAAGATGCTCTCATGAGATTTCCAATGAGTTCATTTTATACTTTGTGCAGAGCTTCATGTTGCACTATCAACATGCCTCCAGGATGCCTTACTGAGCCTGGCATAGCATACTGGAAACTATTAAGAACAATGGTATCAAATTCATGTCTTGTTGCTCAAGTTTTTATCTGTGTTTCCTCCTGTCTCTATGCCCAGTTATGAAATCTTGCAAAAATGTTAATATTCACCACTCCTTTATATGTTTTGTGTCACAACTGCTATGGTAAATGGTTAAGATATTTTTTGTAGTTTATTATGTTGGGTGAGGGGAAACAACTTAGCACTGGCTAAATGAACCATTTCAAAATTATACCTCACTAAAGAGAGAATAAATGGAATAGCAAAAGGCGTGAACCCCCTCTGTAAAAATGAGTCTTTTACAGCTCATGGTCTGATTACAGCAAGATAAGACTAATGCGACTCCTTTCCCACCAGGAGGGACACTGATGTAGAAGGCCCACATGAAAAATGCTTGGTGAAATTCTGCTGGGCCTAGTTCCAGTTTCTGAGTACTGGTATAAAAAGCCTCATGTGAGTCAGTTAATGCACACAGTGGCAAAGTGCTCATCTTCCTTTTGAGGTTAATGCCAAGGTGACTGCATTTATTTTGAGAGAGCTGAAACTGACAAGGATTGTTGAAAGACCAATCAACTTTCTAGATTCATTTCTCAGCTGACTTCTGAGAATTCTAAATTCTGACCATTTAGAGCCAGTTGAGACTAGGGGCATCCCACCAGCTCCATTAGTGCTAATAATCTTGGAAGATGTTGTACAGATGGCTGCTAGAACTGTTTTAAGCACTGTGTACAATAAACCTCCAACATGCAGGAATAGATAATGTGGTATTAAAGCACTGATAGCAGTGGGCTCTTTGTTAACAGTCTTGGGCCTGAACTGATGCTAGCAGCAGTGCAACCTTTTTGAAAAGTGTGCAGATGGGGCTTTACTGTTCCTTACTCTTTCACATTACTAATATACAAGTGAGAGAGGTAACATGTGTGGGTGATATCCTTTATTAGATGAGCTGCATGGCTGGGATAGATTGAAACAAGCTTTCAAATATGGGGCCTTTTTCTTCAGGTCTGGAAACTATGTTCTGGACCACCACAACCATAATAATCAACCTAACATTACCACAATAATTCTAGATCTGAAAACTAGCTAAGAGGGACAAACAGGGAAAACAAAGCACAAACTTTTAGTGTCCAGTCCTCACCAGTTTCTGCCTGGTTTCATCGCAGACATTAACCCCCGCCCCACCCCAACATACCCATGCTTTACCAGAAGCAGTAGCATGTTACTTCAACCCAGCTCCACAGCATCTATATAGATAGGGTGCTTCAGCAGTGCTTTTCTGGTGCTTTTAGCTAAAGCTGATTTAATCAGCTATTAGCTAAAAGCACCAGAAAAGCCCCACTGAAGCACCAAGTTTATACAGGCCTTTGGCGAGCTGGGTCCAACTAATGCACTGCCTCTTCTGAACATGTGCTTGGCTTGGCAGAGGAATGCGTGGAATTTAAAGTGCTGGGTTTTGGGGGGGGAGGGGGTGGTGTTTTGTTTTTTTAACATCTGCAAGCAGCCGCCATGTAATCTGGGCCCTCTCCTGAAAATGTATGCTTAAAGAATATAGTTTTATTCTTGAGTGGTTCTTCTGAGGTCAATGGGACTACTCATATCAGCAAGAAGTATGGCTGTTTTATTTCATGGGCCCCAAACCAGCAAGCGCTTGTGCATATGTCTCACTTTAAGAATTCAAATAGTCCCATGCAAATCAATGTGACTACTAAACACACAAAGTCAAGCACGGGCCCAAGGTTAAAAAGTGACACAGAAGCCTCAGTTCTATTGAGAAAAAGGGTACAGTTTTTGAAGGAATCTTGTAAGATTTTCAAAATCAGCTGGAGCTAAGTGCTTGTGAAAATTCCACTAGCTGCCTATTTGTTCTTTAGGTGTCTAAATACTTTTGAAAATTTGGCTGCAAGTACTTTGCTAGATTGAAGTCTTCTTAGATCCATTAGGTAAAAAGTTTTTTTTCTTAGGAGCCTCTACAGCATCGGACAGCTCTAGTGCAGCAGAAATAAATGACATCAGAGGAAAGAAAATGAATATAGGTGACAGGGAGATTTAAAGTCTTAAAAGCTTAAAATCTGATTTGAGGAACAGCATTAGAAACATGCAGTATTTCTATAGTAGGATATTTTCCTTATCCCTATATATAATTAATTTATTATTTAGAATCTAAATGGCAAAGTATAGACATGAAGGACCGTATTACTTGGATGCCAAAGTAAATGAGAGATTTAAAAGCAAATCTCAAAAGCACTGTGGAATATTTTTTATTTGAAAGCACTAGTCCGATTTTGCTCATCTGTCCTTTCATAAAAACAGTATACCTTACCTGTCATGTCTCTTTGGCCTGCTGGTCTCAGAACAGGAAAGCCACCAGCAAAGAGACCACCCAACAATGGCTGGGCACTTCTGGTATTTGCTGAGCTATTTCCATCTCTGTTTGGCCCTTTGGATTCTATTATAAAGAGGAATGTTATACGTGAGATTTGTCATCTACATTCAGATTGTCAGAGCAAACTCTATCCGCAAACTCCATTTTGTGGGTCTAACATAAGCAACAAGTAACAAAAAAAGACCTTTCTATCTTACAAACACCTTAGAGCACAGCACCCTCTGGTGGCTAAAAGCAGTTTAGTCTCACGTTCAACCACTGTTAAACTAAAACTAATAGATTTTGGATTTGAATCTTTCATCCAATTCTGAAAAACAGAGGAACAGCATCTATATAGATAGGGTGCTTCAGCAGTGCTTTTCTGGTGCTTTTAGCTAAAGCTGATTTAATCAGCTATTAGCTAAAAGCACCAGAAAAGCCCCACTGAAGCACCAAGTTTATACAGGCCTTTGGCGAGCTGGGTCCAACTAATGCACTGCCTCTTCTGAACATGTGCTTGGCTTGGCAGAGGAATGCGTGGAATTTAAAGTGCTGGGTTTTGGGGGGGGAGGGGGTGGTGTTTTGTTTTTTTAACATCTGCAAGCAGCCGCCATGTAATCTGGGCCCTCTCCTGAAAATGTATGCTTAAAGAATATAGTTTTATTCTTGAGTGGTTCTTCTGAGGTCAATGGGACTACTCATATCAGCAAGAAGTATGGCTGTTTTATTTCATGGGCCCCAAACCAGCAAGCGCTTGTGCATATGTCTCACTTTAAGAATTCAAATAGTCCCATGCAAATCAATGTGACTACTAAACACACAAAGTCAAGCACGGGCCCAAGGTTAAAAAGTGACACAGAAGCCTCAGTTCTATTGAGAAAAAGGGTACAGTTTTTGAAGGAATCTTGTAAGATTTTCAAAATCAGCTGGAGCTAAGTGCTTGTGAAAATTCCACTAGCTGCCTATTTGTTCTTTAGGTGTCTAAATACTTTTGAAAATTTGGCTGCAAGTACTTTGCTAGATTGAAGTCTTCTTAGATCCATTAGGTAAAAAGTTTTTTTTCTTAGGAGCCTCTACAGCATCGGACAGCTCTAGTGCAGCAGAAATAAATGACATCAGAGGAAAGAAAATGAATATAGGTGACAGGGAGATTTAAAGTCTTAAAAGCTTAAAATCTGATTTGAGGAACAGCATTAGAAACATGCAGTATTTCTATAGTAGGATATTTTCCTTATCCCTATATATAATTAATTTATTATTTAGAATCTAAATGGCAAAGTATAGACATGAAGGACCGTATTACTTGGATGCCAAAGTAAATGAGAGATTTAAAAGCAAATCTCAAAAGCACTGTGGAATATTTTTTATTTGAAAGCACTAGTCCGATTTTGCTCATCTGTCCTTTCATAAAAACAGTATACCTTACCTGTCATGTCTCTTTGGCCTGCTGGTCTCAGAACAGGAAAGCCACCAGCAAAGAGACCACCCAACAATGGCTGGGCACTTCTGGTATTTGCTGAGCTATTTCCATCTCTGTTTGGCCCTTTGGATTCTATTATAAAGAGGAATGTTATACGTGAGATTTGTCATCTACATTCAGATTGTCAGAGCAAACTCTATCCGCAAACTCCATTTTGTGGGTCTAACATAAGCAACAAGTAACAAAAAAAGACCTTTCTATCTTACAAACACCTTAGAGCACAGCACCCTCTGGTGGCTAAAAGCAGTTTAGTCTCACGTTCAACCACTGTTAAACTAAAACTAATAGATTTTGGATTTGAATCTTTCATCCAATTCTGAAAAACAGAGGATGGTGATAAGAAGTCACTCATAACCTTTCAAAAAATCATGGGTTTCATTAGTACCAGCTCATCCAAGAATCCTTCCTGCTGTTCAATATGGTATTCCAGCACACAGTCATGCAGCCTTATAGAAAGCTATTTTTTCCTTCAGTGTTAGGAATGCTAGAAAAACATTTGACAACCTGCCAGTGGCCATAATTAGGAGCCTAGGAGTGGTCTTGTGTGAGAATGGAATGACCCACTGGTGTTTCAGAAACTTATAATTATTTTTAAACATTATTTTCATCATTTAAGTACCACATTTTTGTTTCTAGAAGGAGGACTTGACAAAAAGTAAGCATCTCTAACTAAATGAAAGCCTAAGTTGCTCAGCAGAATATTTTTGTTTCACTGCTTCTAGGACTTAATAGACAAGCAAACAGTTTGGCTAGACATTCTTTCTTTAAATGTGTTTATGAGAAGGGTTGACTAAATTTGTTGCTGTGAAATGTCTATGATAGCATGTTATAACATCAGAAGTGCACTTAACTAACAAATCTTGAGCTCATGACTTTGAGGGAGTTATAAGTTTGGCAAATTAAGTTTCTCTTGATAGCTGCACATCCTGTTAAGCAAAATTGATGTTAGACCAGGTGTTGGCAATGTTTTTGGGCAGAGTGCCAAGAACACCTGAAACCTTGACTTGTAGTTGGTATGCCAGGGGTAGACAGCAGAGGAGCTGTGACAGCCCTGATCCTTGTTGTGGCAGTGCAGCCTTCCCCCTTCCCTTGAGGCTCTGGGCAGGCCCCTGCCACCCACCAAAGAGATTGGGCTGCTCGCAGCAAGGGGTGGGGAGGCTGCAGGCACCTGCACCAGGGCCCACAGAGTCCCAGTTCAGCTCATTGCTGGTGGCAAGTGCATGCATGCCTCAAGGTGAATGGCAGGGAAACAGCTGGGACTGCAATGCCACAACAAGGATCAAGCCCCTTGTGGCCCACCCCGAGGTACACATACCAAGGTACACATACCAAGCTCATTGCCTTTGCGTGCCATACACAAAATGCCTTTGCCATGCACACTTACTTTCAATTTGTGGTGCACTTCTGTCATTGATTTGTGCTACTTTCCTTAAGCGAGTCCCGTGCTGAATATCAGCAAGCAATGCACTTCGAGCTTTTTGGTCTTCCTTTCTCGGTTTTGGTGGTTCTGTACTTGCCTGTTGAAAACAACAATGTTAAGCACTAAGACAGTTAAATGCTGGGAAAAAGGAAAAAGTTGTAATAGGTAAAGCAGCTGTCATCTTGGAACTCTTCTGTTATTGTGTCTTGAATTATATATTCTTGCAATTCACATGACACACCTGTAAATTAAGAGGTGTCTATTAATTGCATTTAATTTCATCTGGAAAAATTCATTAAGTTTGACATCTGGTATGTGAGCTACCAAAGCTGCCAGACTTCTTTGCTTTATCTGGTAATTCCAACATGAACTTTAATTTTAATTGCTTTATGAAAGGGGGATTTCATGAGTCTTTTGAGAACAAAATCTGCTTTTTTTCCTGTTTTACTCTTTCTCCTTTAAGAACACTTAATAATGATGGCATAAAATAGTATGAAAACCTAGCCTGATCACAACATAGCATCTTGTATTTAAATTATATCACAAGTCGGTAATTTGTACTGTGTTGAGTTCCTCAGTATTAGAATTTATGCCAGTTTCAGCAGATTGCTTTAAATCCATTACATTAGAGCAGCTTTTCCAGTTTTATAAATGTAACCAGAAAGTAATAGCTTTCGGTATGATCATAAAATTAAAATCAGAGATGCTGGTTATTTTAAAATCTGGAATTGTATGCAATGCCACAATAGAAACATGCTCTGCTGGCAAATTCTTTGAAACCAAGTTTCTTTGAACAGATACAAGAAAGCAAAATTGAGATTTCCAAACCCAGTGGGGCAGTTAGGCACAGGACAGTTCTATAACAAGGCTGTTTACCTTCTAATTGGTATGGGGCTGCATGCCCCATGAGTTGCACCAGTGGGAATCGCACACCATGTGGGCCATGGGTTCTCCAGACTGCACACTACCATCAATGCTGTACCTAGACTCCTGGTGGCTCCAGGCAAACTTTTAGTATCAGGCCCCTCTTCGCCAGAGATAATGATAATAAAAATAATAATTGGCCTTGTTGCAAAAGTCTTTATCACATCTGTGGTATCAATGCCTTTAAATAGTTCATTCTCAATTGATAACATTGCCAGTCCTGGAAATGCACAATATTAAAACTTTTCGTTTTGCAATTGTAATTTTTTTTTCATTTTCAGGCCCCCTTTCTGTGACCCCACCAGTTTGACAGAGCATCTTGAAACAAGCCCTTAATATCCAGGTTAATAATCATAGTTAATAATTGAAAGTTACCTTCACAATAAATTTTAGCAGCATAAGATTGTTGCACCTGAATTTTATATTTATTTTGGCTTATCAACACTCCCCCCTTCTCCCCACCCCTCCCATCTGAGATGATCTGAAAGGGAAGTAAGTTTGGAAACATCTAGCATTCACTAAATTACTCTGTTCCATACATACTACTGATTTAAAATAATAAAATAATTTAGGTTTGTATTTTTTGTTTAGGTTTATTCCAGGGTTACCCGAAATAATTGCCTGCCCCTGGTTTATTCCCATAAAAACTTTTTAAAGAAAAGCTTAATCATACATGCCCACTAGGTGGCAACCTAAGGTGATAATTATGCCAAATACATTCCTGTTATCTGATGTAAAAATCCAAGTTAACTTTGCAACTATACTATGAGCATATTATTCAAGAGGATGTTAGAAACATACATTTGTTTTTATATGGTAGCCTTTGTTATGTAACAGTGGTGCTTTAAATAACATTTAATGTACAAACAAGACACAAGTCTAGTTATCAAAGCTCTGAACAGCTGACCTGGCATAAGTAGCACTCTGGCATATATTAACTAGGATTTATTCCAGGCACTTTTCCTTCAGAAATTCACAATACTCACTGCGAAAAATGGACGAAACATAACTGGAGCAAATATGACCTGTTTCTGAATAAAAGTTTTCTTCAGCACCTTGAAGCTTATTTTTCCCAACTCCCAGTAATGACTGCGCAGTAGCACAGCAATTAGGACCTGAGCAGGACTGTTAGGTTTAAAATTAGATCCAACAGCTGCGTTCTTCTTTCTGGGTTCAAGTGTCCATTCATTATGCTGACTACCCCCCTCTGCCTGCCTGCTCCATACCTGTGAGCAGGTAAGGTATTGGAATAAACAGAGTCCTAATAACTTGTGTACAACAGATATACTTGCAAATTACATTTTTGCCAAAAGTGACTCCTGATACAGCATCTCTCTAACAAAGGGAACAACTTTTTTTTTTTTTATATTACAAAAAGAAGGAATGCTTCATTCTGAAATACCTTATTTACTTTTAGAAGGTAGGTGGGTTGAAATATCTACTTAAAAATATACACCCCCTCCTAGTCTTCTAGCTGCTTTTCCTCTTATATGTCAAGATTATAATCTATGGCCAGACTGGTTGATGCATCAGGCGATTGATTAGGCTGCTGAGCAGCTTGTTAGGGATTCTCTTTTTTCATTACAAAGTGAACACGGTCTGGGGTGTTCATCTGGGTGTCCATTGCCTGGTTGTAGACCAGTCAGACCTCTCCAATGGATTTCTTGTTTACAGTATTCCCCATACCTCCACCATTTGCAACACATTACTGGTAAAGAAGTGTCGGTTCCCTTTAGCACAAATATCCAGCACATTCATTCACTGGTAGTCTGCTGGCCTTGATTATCACAAAATACTCATCAAATATATGACTGTACGTTGAAAAGAAAATCTCCTTCAAAACAGTTAGCTGCAAGCACACTTTTCAAGCATCCCTTTCAGGACCTGTTCATGTATCTGTTAAGGATGCAAAATTAGCTAGGGATTCATGACTCTATTATACTGGCAAAATACCAAAACAGAACCAAAAAATGCTTGAAGGAACAGGCAGAGTCAAAACACAAAATGAACTCTTCACTGGAGTTAAACTTTTACCTAAATATAAATATATAAGAATGTTTTAAGCAGAAAGATAAAGACCTGTTTTACTTGGAGGTCACAGTGGGACCAGAGCTGCAATACAAAATATGTCATTCTTCCAGAGCACTGTCCTTCACCAACAGAGAAGCTACATTTATTTACAGACTGGGAAACATCTCAATGCTTCACAGAAAATCCAAAAGGGAGCAGATGAAAATATGAGGATCATTTGTTTTACTAAATGCCAGAGATGCCTAAGGTAGTGTAGAATGAAATTAAATTCCATTTACTTGCCTTTCCTGAATCAAAATGTGAATGAATGGTGGGTTCTCATTTCCTTGGTAACCACCAGATTATTGTTCTGTTGTTTTGCACAAGAAGAATGTCATGTTAAATAACCGCTTATGTTTTGTTTTAACACAAATGGAATAAGTCACTCATGCAGTGACCCAAATGTAAAAAAAAAAAAAAAAAAGTCCTCTCAATAATCTTCACCGTATTTTTGCCTTTCGTGCTCCTAAAATTATGCCTTTTAAAAAAACTATACCAAGAGCATATGCTGAATGGATTAAAAACTGGCTAAAGGACAATCTCAGAAAGTACTTGCCAATAGGTAGTGTTTTTAGAGAGGTGTCACAGACATTGGTCTTAGGTCTTTTGTTAATGAAAAGCAATCTGAAAGTAAATATTTAAAAATCTCTGCTGATAAAATCCATGGAGGACACAGATTGGCAGAGTGGTAAGTAATTGGAAGGACAATACAGGCATATGGAATGATCTGGATCGCTTGGTAATCTAGGTATACTAAAAATAATGCATTTTATTACAGTCAAAGGCAGTGTTATGAACATCTAGGATGAAAGAAGGCAGGTCTCAGCTGTAGGATGGATAACCCTATGCTGGAATGCAACAACTGAATCTGAATTAGGGTTTATAGTGAGCAAGCAGATTGACAAACACAGTGTTGTGCTGAAGTGAAGGGGAAATCCCTGGAAGAATAAACAGACCCATTTAAGCAAATAGCATCACCAGAATGAAGCCCCTCTCTCTTCTGGATGTTCTTCCATAGTCAGTTTTGTAGTTAGGGCTGTCAGAATAATTAATTTTTTTGGTGCAGCAGAATTAAAATAGGTGAAACAATACCTGTGGCTTTGATCCAAACAAATTTAACATTTTTCCTCCTTCACTGAAAAAAGAAAAACATTTATTGGGCATACAACATTTCATTTTGGTCACTCATATGAAAATAAGAAAAAATGATGGGTGAGTTTCACAGAACTGATGTTTTTCCTTTATCCAGCCTGGGGGTTAGCATGCAGGATGTGGGAAAACCCACTTTGTTTCCCTCCTCCATGTGAAGGGATCTGAACCCAGTCTACAAGGAGAGTGGCCCATCTGTTGTGCTTTTTACAGTATGGTGGAGAGAGTTGCTCTCAATCTCTCTTGCTGATGCAGTTGCACTTTGTATAAATTAAACATTCACAGGAGCACAAACTGGAAGCTAAGTATCCATACTTGCTCTTTGCCTCAATGAATATTTATATTTTATGCAACAATGAAACAGCTCCTACAAAAGAAACTCAGGAAATCTACATCAGAATACTATATACATCCTGCTGCTTAATGCACACAGAGATGCGAGTTCAAATTCTCTTGGGAAGAAGAGAAACTAAATCTGGGTCTCACACTGTGAATGAGTGCTCTAACTCCTGACCTAAGGGAGACAAATAAGTTCCAAAGCTACTTCCTTCAGCAGCTCTGTGACCCTAACCTCAAGTTTCTTTTTCCAGATGAAAAATTCTGTGAATTCAAGTTGAATTTGTGAATAGGTTAGGGATAATCAAATATCACAATTTTTTTTTATGAACTTGCTCTTTACCATTTTTTTCACCCAGTTCTAGCTATAAAAACAACAAGGGTCTTACTTCTTTTCTTTTCTAGATGAAAAAAAGTGGGTAAGATTCAGAGCCACCTTGAGTCACAAGGCTTTCCAATAAGAGCGGCCTACCATTAGCTACTTAAAACCTTCAGTTTAGATGAAAATTGACCAATTGATTAAAGATATTGTCTAATGGGCAACAGTCCAGCCCATTAAGGGATCTATAAAGAAAGATTGGTATTTTGAACAGATGACGAATTTTATGGGCCCCACTA